CGGTCGATTTCCACAGGTTCTAGGTTACAGCACTGAGCAGAATCTGAAGCCGACGGTCCAGTGGCTTCGAGACCTGGGCCTGAAGAAAGCTGAGATTGCCAAAGTGATCGGTCGATTTCCACAGGTTCTAGGTTACAGCATCGAGCAGAATCTGAAGCCGACGGTCCAGTGGCTTCGAGATCTGGGCCTGAAGAAAGCTGGGATTGCCAAAGTGATCGGTCGACTTCCACAGGTCCTAGGTTACAGCATCGAGCAGAATCTGAAGCCGACGGTCCAGTGGTTTCGAGATCTGGGCCTGAAGAAAGCTGAGATTGCCAAAGTGATCGGTCGATTTCCACAGGTCCTAAGTTGCAGCATCGAGGAGAATCTGAAGCCGACGGCTCGGTGGCTTCAGGACTTGGGCATGAATCAAACTGAGGTTGCCAGAACGGTCGTGAACAACCCTGGTATGCTTTCTTTGCGCGTCGAGTCCAACTTGGCAAGGAAGATCGTCCTCTTGCAGCAGTTTGTCAGTCTGGAGAGCCTTCCAGGCCTTCTGGCGCAATATCCCGTAATATTGAATTACGGCTACGAGCGCTGGGCTTATCGTTCGAAGGTTTTGCATCAATGCTGTAAGCCCTTCTCTTTTGCCTGCGCCCTGCAGCTGACTGATGCCGCCTTCTTTAGACGATATGGTAAGCACGTCGATGAACCAGTTGGCTTCCAGAGCCTGCCCTAGGTGAAAAAGGTCCGGTTCCTGGGTTGGACGTAGAATGCACGGACGCTCAACATGAGATTCCGAACCCTGAGGAACACAACAGACATTAAACTCGCGAACTAGAGCTTAGCTTTTGTTGTGCCTTGCCCTGGCTGTGTCTGGGATAGCTCGATAGTTGAATGCCCATGAACGACAATCACAGAAGCAGTAAAAGGCTACGTTCGGTTTAGTTGCCACATGCCAGAATCAGCTCCTCTCATTGCGCAACTTCAACCCTGCATGTTTCAACTCCTTGGACCCGGGTTTTGCTTGTGCTAGCCCAAGCAGAGCTTGAACACACCATCACATGAAGATTGAAGAGTTGTTCCTGCCGCAGGTCCACATGCCCCAGCGCTCGTGAGACCTTACCCACTCTGTTTGGCTCTGTCTCCGTTGCTGATTAACTCATTCCTGATCTGACACAATGCAGCCCAAGTTGCGGCGCATTCACAGATAGTTGAGGCATGAAAACTAAGGTGGCTGCATCGTCATTTCTTTCTTTGCTGAAGACAAGAAATAGTTAAGCAAGCTCACATCCTGAATCAGGCTTCAAGAGCTCGCAGATGCTCACCCACGTGATGTGCGACCACGTTTCTTGGCTGCTTTCCCAACCTCCATGGCCATATGCTAGCACCAGCACCGCACGCCAGGCCTGGCACCTCAAAGGTAAGTTTGAGTTTATAACCGTGAAGCCAGTCAGCGTGTTGCTAGGCGGAGAAGTCGGAGAATCTGAGACCCGAAAGCCCCAAACCACTCGTAGCCACCCAGGCTTTCCTGGGCCTCGACGAGGAGCACTACCAGGTCAGCGCCGTCCGTGCCCCGGACGTGGTGCAGACTTCGGGAAAGTGCAGTCGCTTCCATGTTTCGGAGACTGCAGGCTTCTTGAGGCTTGGGGTTGAAACTTAAGCGTTCTAGCCGCTTGGTGTGTCTGTACTCAGCTTCATTCAGGGTGTTCTTGTTTTCACGACCTTCTGGTGCCCTGAGCTACCTTTGGCTTACGCTTTGTGGGAGGTCCTCCCGCCAAAGGCCCTTATCAGTTTCTGAAAGTTTGGTCAGCCTTCTTGATGGTCTTGCTTGAACTTAGATTGCCAACGGGAGCACTTTGGAATTTTTGGGCCTAGAAATTCATGTTTGGAACTGTTCTGGGCCCGGTCGGGTTACTGAAGGCTGACGAGAGTCAAGTAATTGCCCTCGAAGCAAGCTTAAAAGCAAGGCTCTTGCGCCTCAGACTCCGACGCTAAAACATGAAACCACCTGGCTTATCCTCACATCCTGAACCTTCCTTCGCGAACCTCGGGCCCCCAACGCCCAAACCGTAAAGTTATGGCATAAAGCCCTAAAACTCAGACCTGAAACCCCTGTAATTAAGACCTCAGATCCCCCAAATCCTAAACCCCACAAACCCACAAAACCTCAAACTTGGACCTGAGACTCTCGCGTAAGACCTCTTTGAAGGACCGAGCAGCCTCCGAAGAGCTGTCGGAGCACCGGAGAGGCCCCGCCTCTTTCGTGTGTATGGCGGGCTTTAGGTCTTTCCGGCTAAAGCCAAAACGTGTCTTCGGAGGTGTTGTGGGTTGACTACAGTTATAAGCCAGTCCAGTATAGTTCGTTCGACTGGAATCCCTCAGAAGTCTAGTGATCCACATGAGTGAGTTTCGATGTGTGTGTTTCGATGCTGTACCGTATGGATACATAAGAGGGTCCTGTTTACAGGACCGGCAGAAAGGGATCTACTGCTTCGTAAATGGTCTTGCCTGAAGTCTCTGACTGCAATGCACACGTTCTGGGGGTCGTGAGGAGTTTTGTTTCAGAAGGTGTTGATGGCACCAACTTAGACTTACTGAGTATTGAGTCTGCTGTGTTTTGTGAAACTTAAGTATGCTTTCATGCTTCGTCTAGATCTGATGATTCTGCCAGGACCTCCTTTACCTGAGAGCTCCAAGTGCTTCTGCAGGATGCACTTGTGCCTGAAAGAGTTCGTCTCTAGTTATGTCTTTGGCCAGGGTTCAGTGTATGCAATATTGTATTCCCGTACCGGCACTCGGACCCTTAGGGTCGTCACGCTGCAGGCAACAATCTCGTCCGACTTCTTTGGAAAGCCCTCCTGCTCGCGCCTGAAGAATTGCTGCTGATTCCTTTCACAGCGGCGTCTTCGGTTCTGGTGTGGTTCTGCGTTTAGGGCTGCTCTTCGGATTCTTGGCTGTTCTGCTTTGTTCTCTCTTCAAAGAGTTTAAGGGTTGGCTTTTCCGTGTCGTTGGAAGTCGGTTTTGCATTCACTTGATAACCTACCTGCTTCAAGAGGAGCTGGCTGCTGCAACGGAGCCTTCATGGATCCTAACTACATCCCTGTTTTGCAGAGCTTCGACCGAGGTCGAACATGATCATCCTCATCGCCGTCTTTTCCACCTTGGCCTTCATCTGGTCAGGGCCTTGAGCCCACGACATGCCCAACAAAGCGTGCTCCTAGTTAGTATTCTGGGCCCTTACAGAAGGGAAGTCTATTAGTCATGGGCTTACATTGCTCGTATCAAGGAAGCCTGGCCGTTACAGTATATGTACAGGGGTAGTTCGTTGCGTGACATGCTTGGGGCAGAGCTTCTGAGTTTGCGAATTTAGGTTTCAAGTGAGATGCTACAAATTTGGGAAAGTGCAGGACGCGCAAGGTTAGCCACAGGAGGCGCGAACAGTTAGGTATGCATTAATGTAGGAACGAAGAATGCGATCAACCAATGCTGACGAAGGTTTTTCATCGTCATTATCCTCGGCACGCTAGCCAAGCACACAAAGTGTACCAAACAATCATAGTGGCAGCAACTATAGTGCAGCCTGACAATTATAACGGACGATGCCCGATAGAAGTGTGGCGTTTGCCGCAAATCTGCAGCTAAAGTGGCAAAGGCACCTTTACCTCAAGCCTTTATAAAGCTTCCCTGTGTAGTAGAGGGGCCTTAATAACTACCAATTCATACTACTCTAGGGGTTCCTTATTTTCATCATTTTATAATGGGCCCCAAGACCCTATTCTACTTATTAAGGCCCCTACGTTGCCAGGACCCGGTCCATCATGGATGTCCTGCGGCTTGTGGCGGTGATTTTCTGGGGCCTCCGAAAGCCGGGGGCTGAGTTCTGGGTCCATGGGCTGCTTAGGGTTTAGGGTTTGGGGTTGAGAGTTTAGGGTGTAGGGAAATGGGCGGTTATTGTTCAACTTGCCTTGGCTTTGCCAAGGGGAATTTCAGTTCAGGGTTCAGGGTTTAGGGAAGTTTAGGGTTTAGGGTTTGCGGAAATGGGCGGTTTTTGTTTCAACTTGCCTTGGCTTTGCCAAGGGGAATTTCAGTTTAGGGTTTAGGGTTTAGTCTTTGCTAGGGGGACTTTACCCTGAACCCTAAACCCTGAACGCTGAACCCTAAACATGTTTTTTTACTTGTTGGTTTCCTGTGTTCATGTGTCTTATCTGATCTGGATGGGGGGAGGGTTCCCAGTAGCCTGTGTTCACGGCATAGATTGGGGTGGAAGCTTTGGGGACTTTTGGGGGTCGGTGGCAGGGCTTGGCAGTTGGGGATGTCGAGGACTTCGGGACGTCTAGGTTTGGGATTTGCCATGTTAGAGCCCCATGCTTTTGTTACTTGCTTCAAAGCAGGCCGGATGCATCCCTAGCTGCTACATCTGCTACGGTTGATGATAAAAAATCCTGCATTCCCCATAATAAGGAATATACCATAATTCCCATTGTTTTTGCCCATAGCGCAGGTATCCGTTTCCAGACAACCGGTCGCGGCCTAAGCATTCACGCCGCCCGTGCCGGTTTTGATTGAGCCCATGGTCCGCCCTGTGGAGAGGGTCGAGGTCGTGCGTCGTGCTACAGCCGGGAGCTCTGCTTAGGCTTTGGACGGCGCTCAAGGTGTTCAGTGCAGGCAAGCCGGATCTGCATTTGGAGCGCTCCGGATCCTAAAGCCTTAAATCCCCAAAGCTGAAACTCAACCTCCACCTATTAAGCTACTAACTTTTTCTGTCTGGGCCATAACGGGGTTCGGGCGTCCCCAGCTCCCAGAGGATCAGCCTGTCAAGCCCTAGAGCCCCGAACATTAACAGTTGAAACCTTTGTGGCGCAGGTTTGCTGTTTCTCCGGACAATCTACGACCTGCCCTTCCTTTGTGCAGGGGACCTCGGCATCAGGAGTGAACGGTGTAATATAGGGGCGTAGACAATTACCTATACTAATTTTGCAGGTTGGTTATTATAGTTATAGTATAATATGCCCCCAAACCCTTTTCTAATTATTAAGACCCGTTTTTTCGGGGCTGAGAGGTTAAGGTTTCGGGACATGGGCTTTGTGCGTCATGAAAGTGGCCCAGGAGGCCTAAAACCGTACTGTCACAGCTTTGAAACCTCTATGCATGGGACTTCGGCTGAACTCGGTGTTGGTGTTTCGCCTTGCTGTCCTGGGCAGTGGTCACCGAGCAGAGCCGCCTAGAGGCTCCAGTCAATATCCCCGGAAGCAGGCTTCTGAAAATAAAAGCACATAGAAGCACTTTCCCAGCAGTATCTATGGATAGGGGTTCGTCAAGGTCAAAATCCCCTTGTAATCACATGTCAAACCTGAAACTCTAAACTCTAAACCCAAACCCTTGAGGCCCAAACCTCAACCCCCATGCAAACCCTTTACACCAAGCCCGAAATCAGAGACTCCCACTCCCAAACCCGCAACCCCAAACCTTATTAACCGCCAAACCATATAACCTTTATAGCCCCACACACCCCGCCCCTGACCGCAACCCCGCACCCCTGAGCCCCACCTTAAACCCAGACAGCCATAGCGCCCAGCCCTAAAACCCAATCTCCACAACCCCAGACCCCAAGTCCGAAACCCTAAACCCTCAGCCCCAAACTCTCAAACCCCATACCCCCAAATCCCAAAACCCCCACCCACATAACCCCCACCCCCTGCGCTCTGAATCCTAAACCCCATAGCCCCCCAGTCCTAAACCCGCTTCCAAGCTTCGGACCTTTTGAGTTTGCAACTTGGAGGTTCATGGGTAGCTATAAGTGGGGCTATAAGTTCACGAATAATGGGTTATAAGTTATATTCATAGCTACCCTACTTCTAACCTACTTTTAACTAACCTACTCTTAACCACTCTAAACCAAACCCTAAACTCTAAAACCCTAAACCCTAAACCCCTAAACCCTACTTGTAACCACCCATGAGCCTCCAAGAAAGGCCGGCTTCGAAGTGCGGCGACTGAGACCTCCAGCGGCCCAGCGGCTGGAGCGCCTCGGCTGCTTAGGAGCGGCTTATATGGCTTAAAGGTGCAGGTTTCAGCGTTTAGTGCTTTATACAGGTGTGGTAAGGTTTCGGGTTTTGGGGTTTAGGGCTTTAGGAGAAGTTCTAGGTTTTGTAAGGTTGCAGGTTTTAGGGGGGTTTGTAGGGCTTTAGGAGAAGTTATAGGCTTTGTAAGGTTTCGGGCTTGAGGGTTAAGGGCTTTAGGGTTCTAGGTGTGGTAGGAAAACCTTATAGTAGGTTTCGGGTTCCGGGCCCAGGAACCGGAACCCCCAATAATTAGCCCTCAAGATGAACCCTCATCCTATGTCCAAGCCCTGAAGCATCCTCTTGTCCCGCTTCACAACCTCTCCTGCCGTCTCCAACAGGTTCGAACCCGCCGAGTCCTACGACTGGTGCCCGGTCTTCACCCAAATAGGCCGGATTTTGCAGGGCTGAGCGAGGGATCGTTTTTGTTTCGGGTTCTGTAGAAATTTATAACTGTGTGGCGTTTATAGAGGGTCTGGGACTTCGGTGCAGATGCTTCGCAAATCGATGCGGAAAAGAGCTTGGACAGTCGTCAGGCCCTGGGTCTGGCGCTCCACTCTCCCCCAGACCAGCATTGTGGACATCTCGCCTGGAAGTGCGCAGTCGCCAGGTCAGAGACACCATGTTTTTCGACAGGGCTGGAGATTCTTTCAGCTCCGATGTTTCCTCCGAAACGCTGGAGATGCTTAGGCATCGCTCAGAGCAGGAGCTGCTCAGATGTGCTCAGGCGATCAACTTCGGAGAGCTTAGGGGCCTCCTTCAGGCGTCTGCATCCTTCAGCACGGCCCTTCTGGCTTCTTTCGTTTCGCCGGGTTGGATGGCTGTTTGTCCAGACACTGACCCTCTCACGCATTACTGCCCTAGACGCAGGTTGCACAGGGCGGGCTTTGCTCATATGACATACTACGCCCCAGCCTTCATCCGAAGCCTCTGGTGCCTGAGAACCCTTGGCAGTTCAGGCTTGGCTGGCCTCACATCTAAGGTGTACTTTTCTGGACTGGCGGCTGCGGCTGCTGGGGTGCCGGAAGCAAATCGAGGGCCTCATGCACTACAACCTCATATGCGTTTATAGAGGGTTTGCTTTCTTTGCGGTTCTGTAGATATGGTTTGAGATGTCGCTTCTTTCGGGTCCACCGGCGGCACGGGCCATTACCGTGGCTGCAGCTTAGCAGGTGTGAGCTTGATGACGTTTAGGCCCCATGGCCCATAGCGACGAAAGATTGTGTGCCATTTCGGAACAGTACCCTAAACCCTCAAACCTAAGCCTTATGAGCCCCAAAGTCCTAAACCATAAACCCTCAACAGTATGCCGCGAACAGTAGGAATCTGGGCCTGGGTTTTCCTTCACACAGCGTGCCCAAGGACACCAGAGCAGCATCTCTGCACTTTAAGTACAGGTGCCTGCCTCTTTCCCAACTCCCCTGGACTTCGAAGCAGTCTCTGGTTTCGTGTTTAGGGGTCTAGGGCTTGGGATTTGGGTTTCAGGGTTTGGGGTTTGGGGTTTGGGGGTTTCACGGTTTAGAGGGTTTACGGTTCAGGGGGTGCCCATCGCCTACTCACATCGACTAAATCCCAAACCCGGCCTCACCCCGAAATTCCACATGTAACACGTAAAGAAACCCAGTTGTCTACACAGAAGGTTTCTGCCTGTAGAAACCCAGAATCGCTCAGTCAGCGCACTGGATGTTTAAGATGACTGCACCCCTACAGTTACCGCTTCCAGACCATAACATAGACTCTAAAGCCTGTGACTCCTATGACTGTATCAGTATCAGTCCCAAATCCCAAAAGAGGATATCTCAAAGGCCAACTCCTGACTCCTAACTCAAAAGCCCTATGCAAGCCTCAAATCCTAAGCATTAAAATAGACTGATGTCTGTATCGCACGTGACTGTATCGCGACCCTAAACTCTAAACCCTCAACCGTGATGACTGTATCGACTTTTTGGCAGGCGTGGACATCCTCCTGGGCTTTGCAAAGAGGCAAGCGTAGACGAATGCTTCAGGATGGGGTTTTGGGGTTTAGAGGTGTTTAGGGTTTTGTTTGCTTTAGGGTCTAGGGTTTTTTTGTTGGGTTTAGGGTTTATTGGGGCTCGGATGTTTCGGAGTTTAGGCC